AAATAGGCAAATCAAAGAACTGCATTTCTCAAGAGTGCCCGAGACATGTTACCTGGAGACTGTCTCTTCAGGTGCATAGACTTTCCAGGCAGTTCCATATGGAGTCAGGCTTCTCTGTGATTTATCTGCTGGACAGTGGGTGGCCAAGGGGCACTCATAGGCAAACAGTCATCCTGCCCGATAATTAGGGAGGGAAAAGGCAAACACAAACACACCCAGGTTGACATTCAAAACAAAGTGGATATTTAACCACGGATGGCTCATTATACTGCTGTAGTTCTTGTCTGCCAGTGTGTGGGGAGGAAACCAGGAGCCAACAACAGCACTGTTAGTGATTTATCAGTAGAGCTGACCGAAAAGGCACAGTCCTTGGGTAGAAAAGGGAAGGCTGGAGCTTGTTGGCTAGCTTTGTTCTTAAATGATGGAGGGATCCCTCTTAGTCTTTAGTGGGCCTTGGGGTCCTCCCCTATGAAAAGAGGGGTTCAGACAAGGCCTTTTCTAATTACCCTCCATTTCTGAAAGGCCTTGACTAGACAGTCTTTTTTTTTTCATTCATTCATTAATGCATATACTTAGGTATTTATTCAATTAACCATAAACTCAACTATAGACAAGGTATTGACAATCAATAACCAAAATAAAGCATGGACAGACCATCACAATGGAAGAAACAGCTCGAGGTGTTGACAACCTCTCTCAATTCATATGAGGGCAGCGATAGTAGAACTTCTATTTTCTAAGGAACACTCATACTGCTTTCTCTTAAGGGAAAAAAAAAACAGGATGGCTGCTGTTTGCCAATCTCTTTCAAAGAAATCAAATGTAGTCAGCTCCTCTTTATAGGCTGCTTACTTGGCTTGGAATTTATCTGGTTTTATCCTTTCCTTCTCATCCCCACCTTTGTCCCTGCCCACTCCATCCCACCCTTTCTCCTTAGTGAGGTTTGGTTACCTCCCATTATTTCAACTGGATTTGATTGAATTCAGACCTCATGCATGGGACCTTTCACAGTTCAAGGAACCTAGATGTTGAAGGAAAGCAACTGAGAGAGATGGACATGGAGAATGAGAATAGACAAGACAAAAATGTGTTAGGGTGAAGAAGCAGTGGAGCTGGGTTAGCTTGTGTCTACAGAGCACTGGTTAAACCAGGGAGAAGCTCCACACCACCAACCACTCTGCATCTTCTCCAGGTGATCCGGAGATTTAATCTGAAAGTTACTGACAGCTTAATATTGTGATATTTTTAATCCAAAGAATCAATGTCATGATCAAAGAGCTTTGACCACGAGGAGATTGGCCTGTGCCAAGTCATGTTTCATTTAGCCAGTTTCTAAACCTCCCAGAGCCTCAGTAGTCTCAGCTATAAAGTGGGGACGATGCTTTTGTCATGCTGCTATGGAGGACAAAATTAGGTCACAGCCAAAAATACCTTCTTCCTCATATCAATACTCTCTAGCCTTTACCAACCCCTTCCAAACTGAAGCTAAGATGTGGATAGGGCCTCCAAAGCCCCCAGAGAACAGCCATTTATATGCCATCACTTCTTCTGATCAGTTTCTAGAATAGTGGTCACCTCATTCTTAGTGAGACAGGTATATAGATGAATCCCCCAACCCCTTACTGCTTATTTGGCTACTAAACTTATTATCAATTTCTTTAAAACAAGTTTCTTTCAATTTATTAAATAAAAGTGAGATAAAATTGGCTCAATTCCCCCAAAAAGAAATGAACACACATCTGCGTGACTCTGGATGCCATAGTCCCTTCACTCCAGAGCCTCCTGAACACTGCAGAGACTGGAAACCTGTCCCACTGCGATTCACACTTCCCCCACCCTCCAACTTCTCCTCCCTCCCCTTTCCCATTTCTCTCTGCGGATGCCCTTTCTTCCCTCCCTTTTCCCTTTGAATGTTAAAAAGTCCACGAGGTATCCAGTGTATTTCTTCCTAGCCGACCCCATTTCCACCTAAACACCCAGAACCCAAGAATCTGGAAAGAAGAACCGATTGGGGGTAGTCAGAAAGATGGAAATCTCTCAGGGCTTTGAGTCTTCTCTGCCCAAGGAAACCTAGTATGCGCAGATGCACTTGTATAATTGTGAAGCCATATGCCCACTGGCCTAATTCTGCAGAAAAGGAACAAGCCATAAAACTAAAACATAATCAGTCAGAATGATGATAACAGTCGATGGGACAGTTCATTGATACTAATGTACATTAGATCCAAAGATCGGCATGTGTGCTTCCTGATTTAGGATGCCCCAGACTGACACACTTGAGAGGTTGTTAAGAATACCCGTTTTGCTCTCTCCTGCAACAGAAATGATTAAGGTTCTGCAATGAAAACAGACGCATTCCGATGGGAAAGCCCCTAGTCAGATGGCCTCTAACAAAGTTGTGCTTTGAAAGCGAAACCTGTCTTAAACTTTTGTCCACCTCCCAGACCTCCACGTTTCACCAGAGATTCGGGGTGATGTCTTTTGTCTGGGGCAATGGGGAGTTTGCAATGAACCCTCTGACTCTGTCCCCAGGAGAGAAAGCCTGCGGTGGCACTGTGTGGGCAACACCTCCCTTTAGCTCTCTGGTTACTTGTGTGCTCTGAGAACACACCCTGCCGAGTGCATTCATCACAATAGCCCATGTGTGACCTAAGGAAAAGTCCTTGAAAACAGTGAAACAAGACTCTCAGTTGAAATCTGGAATCCATTCCAGTCTTACACAGGAAGAAAATTAGGCATAGAAAAACAAAGCCCATCGTTCAGAGAAACCTGGAGAGGCTCTGGCTGACATTAAAATCGTGGAAGATTTTTTTTTTTTTCCCTCCCTCACTACTTTGGATTTCATAAAACATTTTCATCTGATCAGCCCCAAAGCTGCTAGAAAATACCATGTGGTTAGCTGATGGCAATGACCGGTTTCTCCAGTGAATAAAACAGGCAGAATAAGATCAGAAATGCTGAATGACATATTATAATTCACTTACTTAACGCTTTTGCACACAACTAAGTAAATGCTATTCTTCCGAACATAAGTGGGCAATACTACCATTTCCCCCCTTTGGATTAATGTATTGGCAATAACAGGGGGAGTAGGGGTAGGAGTTGGAAGCAGAAAGAATAGCTGTGCTCCCTGGGCCCCATCTCCATGGTCGAATTCATTAGCCCCGACCTCATGGGCCTGGAAATATTTATTCACTTAGAACATGAATCAGCAGAGTGGTGTGCTTGCTCAGTGAATCCAACTCAGCAAAGGTTTGTGGGCTAACACTATTTTTATAAGTACAGACCAATTCCCTTTTGTTTCCAGCAACATTATTCACCATTAATTTGCCCTAGTATATGATTTCTTGCATGCATGTAAATAATTCTCAATCTGTACTACTTTGGGGGGCATATTTCTTCTTTGCTAACAATTGGAGAGGCAGGGTGGTGGTCAAGTGGTGGTATAAAATCCAGTGAAAAATCAATTAGCAGAGAAATCTGTTTGGAATTGGAACTTAGAATCCATCTAAAGTTTGTCTAGAAAATCCCTCAAAAGGAAGACAGACTCTGAAGGAATAAGAAGATTCCAGAACCATCCAGATGGGGGCATACTATCTCAGACCCAGAACCATAACACTATTCATTTGCAAATGAAGAAATTAATTTTGTTTTTTTCTTAAGTACCTTCACAGTTCATTTTTTTTTATTTTCCTTAAAAAAAAAAAGAAGGTAAATGGCATTACTTTGGTCTCCAAAACAGATGCCAGTTTGAACTTTATTCTGCCAGCAAGTATTTGGTTTGGCTCTGAAAGGGTTTGAGTTGAAAAAATATTTGCCGAATCCAAAAAGATTTAACGAGCTTTGCTGCAAGGCTGGTGCCATTTGGCACGTCACGGGGGCTGTGGCACAGTAAAGAGAGCTCTCTTGACCACAGATTTTATTTGCCCAAAGTAGCCAACACTGAGAGTTCAGTTGATTTCTCAGGTCAAGAAGCTGCACATCAGATGAGTGAAGTTTCTAAGCGAAAGTGACCAAAACGGGCTTCAAAAAAAAAAAAAAAAAAAAAAACAACTTGCTGACATTGAAAAGGAAGTCCCTGGGGCTGGCTCCACCCCGTGTGGGAGGTGATGGCTAGCTTTCAGAGCTGTCCATAACCTCCTCACACCAACCAACATGCACAGTCTCCAGTGCAGTCAGTAGACCAGATAAACCTCAAAGTTCTAGCAAATGCCTTCCTTATACAACATCAGACACTAAAAAATCTGCTGGGCTGTATTTTACTTGACTAATTTTGGTGTTAGAATTTAACTAAGCAAATCCTGAATGACCTACTTTAAATAACTTCTCTAAATAGTACCAGCAAGTTTACTTTGTATTGCAGAGAGAGAGAGAGGCATGGCTTTATCAATCTTTACTGGAATATAGATGCATAAATCTATCACTGAGATTGGAAAGAATGACCTCAGCGCACACAAATATCACGTTAAAAGTCACTGAACCTTATCACCTGAAGTCACGCTTTTTAGTACAGGTTGCAAGGAAATGAAGCCTCTCATCCTTTTAAATCAATACCACATCTGACAACGATAACAAAAAACCACAAAGCATTTCCATAACAGTGTGTACTTAAGAATTAAAGGTCTGTGTTAATGACATTGGGACAAGAAAAGTTCACTGAAGCTGTAATTACCTTGAAGAAGGACTTAGAACTTTGGATTATTTCACATAATGAGTAAATCCCATCCCAACTTCTATGGATCTCCCAAAACCTCAATTGTCCCTTTCATTAACACCAGCGCCAATCTAACACTTGGGACATGCTTATCTGATGCCAAGGGTCTGTAACAAATATCTTCAAAGGGAGCCAATCTCTGAACTCTGCCTTTCCAGAGAAAGAGCAATACAGGGGGCGGGGGAAGGAAGACTTCTACCTGGCTTAACTGACATTTGGGTGTCAGAGTAGAAATCAGAAGAAAAATTCAGGAAGTAATAAAAGGATGATTATAGCAGTTATTTACCATTTTGGCTTCTGAATGCATTGGCTGGACTTGGGGAGAAGCACAGGGGTTACTGAGATTTGGACCTTGCATCCCCATGATGCTGGAGTTCACTGACATTTGTCTCTCCATCTAAGAGAAAGGAAAGCAACAGAATTAGAAGTCTGAGGAAGACAGTCAAGGCATAGACAATGATGCCACTTCCCTTTCAAGCAGATCCTTTAGCATTTCTTTGAAGAAGCCTCAGAAACCCACAGGCTTGGTACATGGTGAACAATGCACTCCTGAGCCTTGAGCTGAACTAGCACATCAAGGAACCACCCAAAGCTGTGACATCTAGGAAGATTCCCCATGCAAAGAGAACTGTGATATCATGAAAGATGATTTCCAAACAAAATCACTGAATATTTCCACTTTTGCACCCATTCCAAGTACCACTAATTATGCTAATTTTTATGGCTGTAAGAAATAATATATGCATAGAAAAATGCTAAAAGAATATATAATATACCAAGTGGTATCTCAGGATATCTGGATATCTTTGATATATTCCCCTATAAATTTTACATAGTAAACATGATTCTTTGGGGGAATAAAAAAAAATAAACAATCTTAAAAGCCACATTTCCCAACATGCTAGGTCTTCCTGTTGCTCCATTCCATAAATGCAGTTGAAATGAGGCAGCAGGAGTGTTTAAGCCACTGCCTGGGTGTATCTTTTCCTTCTTAACTTGGTCAAGGCCTCACTGAAGAACTGAGCCTTAGGTGGCTGCAGGGTTTGGATTACACATGAACGACTGCTCCCGCAGTATCCTCCTGTGGCCTTCTGTCCCTCCAGGATTAACATCAACCAAATACCTGAGCTGGGTTATGTTATTTTTGTCTTCAGGGTATGCCTATTAAGAAGTAAATGCAAGGTAAGTGTCCCTTATCCAATGTGCCTGGGACCAGAAGTGCTTCAGATTTAGGATATATTCAGATTTTTCAAATATTTGCATAGGATAATGAGATATTCTAGGATAGGACCCAAGTCCAAACATGAAACTCATTTATGTTTCGTATACCCCATATATGCACAGGCTGAAGGTAATTGTATACAGTATGTTGAACACTCCCACATTTGACTACCACCATCACAGTGGGGCAGATGTGGGATTTTTCAATTGTGGCATTATGTTGGCACAACCAAGTTTTGGATTTTGAATTTTCAGATTAGGGATTGCTCAACTTCTACAGCAAAATTTATATTTGAGTCAAGGAAGAACTGATTAATAATATTTTCTGATTGGTAGAAAAATGAACACTTCACAGAATAAGCTAAAGCAAGTACATTTATTATTAATATCACCCAGAAAATAACTAGACTTTCTTCAGCGGGAAAACCAATTCTTCAAAATAATCACCAAAGGGTGGACATAAAAACAATGGCTGAAAATTTGGGGAGCCATGTATTCACTCTAAGTTAACCTGGGAAGTGTTAGAAAATATGGGTGTTTCTAATCAGTGGAGGTTCAAAGGATGGAGCATGGAAATCCCACCAATTAGAGGGAAGCTTGAGTGTGATCACTGAACTAAATGACTATGCTTAGTCAAGGGGCCTTCTCTTGCAGAGATTCTGCCACTATGATTCCTTATGTCTACTCCAGGGGTTGGGTACAATTATGACATTAGTCTTTGAATTAGTAAAAGTGTTAGCGAAAAGCTCTCTCCTGACTGACAGGTGGGTGCTTAGCCTGATTTTAGCCAATAAGCTAATCAGTTATCCTGCAAGGTGTGGATACAGGAAACTTTCAAGAGGAGCTAGTAAAAGCAAATTTCCCATGTATTCCCGAGTATTTCAGTAAAACTTTTTGAGCCTTATCAATTCAGTAAAAATAAGACATTCACTCCCATGTATCTCCTAAATCTCTGGGCAGCCTAAAAGTCTAATCTTTCAATCATTTTTTTAAAAAATTGTAAAATACACTTAAGATAAAATGTACCAATTTAACCAGTGGTAAGTGCCATGAAGTTCATCAAGTTCAATGCCATTAGGTATATTCATGTACTCTAGTGGGTAAGTCATAAAGAAGTCAAGAGTTTAATTGCCTCCCAAAATGTCTTGCTATATTAATACAAATTCTATCAGTATGTATAACCATAATGCACCAATTTAAAAAAGTGGGAAAAATGCATACTACTTATAATCCTCACTCTCAGAGGCTGGAAGTGGGAGAGTCAGAATAGCATTTGACCCCTTCTTCCTCTTTGAGAGGGAAACCCAAGTCCAAATGAGCTTTTTCTCTTTGATTTTCCAAAGAAGGATCTTTTATAAGTACAGATGTTTGTCCAGTGTCTTCTAAACTACCAGCTGTACCAAGAGCGGAGAGCAGTCTGCTTGTGGCTTCTGAATCCAGAGTCAGCAAGCCTTCCATTTTGGGGAAAAGTTTTCATCTGTGACTATTTCTACCCCATGACTCATCATATACTGGTTTCAAACTGGCTTCATTTTTCTATCTATTAAAAAATATTGCATTTTCCATCTTACTGACGATTGTCACATAGACATACAGTGTGGGCAAAGAGCCTCCTCAAAGTAAGGACAAGGCCCCATTTGCACTGTGAGCTCAACTTTAAAAAGTTGCCTGGAATTAAGAGGCCAGGAGATGGATCAAGTTTGTTCAATATGGGTAATATTCAGCACTGCTGGTAAACATCCAGGCAGGGACTCAGGGGTGCTGCTCAGTGGTATAGTGCTTGCTTAGCATGTGCAAGGCCCTGGGTTCAATCCCCAGCACCACAATAACTCCCAAATAAAGAATTTTCCCCTCTTCACACACTGGAAAATAAAAGCTGGACTGTATATATATATATGTCACTGAGCTTTTGTAAAAATAAAAGTAAAGTTCATGTTCCCAAATTATTAATGCATTTGACTTTCAAGACAAGAAATTACACCCTGTAAAGTCCTTGAAGGAAAAACCTGCCCTGGTCTTCTTAATCTCCATCATCTAGCACTGTGCTTGCATACAAAAGGTGCTCAACAGAAGTTTGTGGAATGAATAAATGATGACATCATTTTCTTTCTGACCTATGTTTTGTGAAATGTGCATCCTGGCAGCATTACAAATCAGGTATGAATCTCACCTTCACCTAAAGACACAGTCTGAAGATTTAAGCCCAGGGAATTGTGGTTTCCCAGAGCGGGATCTTGAGGGAAAGAAACTACCCTTCAACCGTGTTTGGAATGTCCAAGTTATAGCAGAGGAGCCGGGGACAGGATACTAAGGAAGAAAAGTCTGGATTTCTAGGGCCTGGAACTCTTAGGATCTACTTCTGAAAGACATTGTGTTGTTTTCCATTAGTAACATTTGCTTCACTGAAGACCAGGGCTTCTCAAGCTCAGCACTGACATTTTAGATCAAGGAACTCTGTGTTGTGGGGACTATCTTGTGTATTATAGGATGCTTAGCAGCGTCTGTGGCCTCTACCCACTAGATATCAGTTTCCCCATGCCAGTCCAGTGCTGACAACTAACAGCATATCCGGTTTTTGCCAAATACCCGCTGGGGGACAGAACCACCCCCAGCAGAGAATCACTGCTCTGGACTGACACCTACTGTCATGGCAGCTCTACATACGTCATGCACAAGGTTTGAGAACTCCTGTGGGAATGGCTTCCCTTCCGTTTAGTCTATACTGGCTCTTGACCATGAACCTGAATCTTTGCTTCTATCCTGAAGTATGAACAAGAGGTCAAGCTGTATGATGGGATCATGTGGAAACTGGTGCCAGGTGCCTTTTCTCAGGGCCCTTTCAGCCCAAGTGTCCTAACTTTGTCCCTAGGAATGGTCCACAGCTTAGCCAAACTGAGGTGGGGGAAAGTTGTCTGTAGTAGTATTTTTCTGAGTAAGGCACAGAGAATACTAATTCTGGACAAGAGGAAGACAACTTGTGATGGAAACTTCGGTACAATTGGTTAAGTTGAATAAAATCTGGGATAACTGCACGGAGGTGCTGTTCTCCACCATCTAAAAAAAGTTTAAGGAGAGCATTGCAGGTGAAGTCAATTGGCATGACCTGTCCACCCTCTAGCTCAAGTTCACAGTGGCTGCTTCTAGCCTGGACAACCAGGCATCTGTGGAGGGCAGGCCAATTGCTCTCAACACAGTCCACAAACGCTTCTGTATCCCCCAGCATCCCCCTAGAGAAAGGAGCACACACAGTCCTTCACCAGAGCCGGTCTGACCTCTCAAGTGAGCTGAGATGTACATTCCATTTTCTACACTCCTAAACCACGTGACATTAGACAACTCCCTTCAAAACTTCTTATTCGGCTTATCATCTATGGGAAGATTATATCAGTGATTATAGATACCATATCCCCACAGGATTGCTGTGAGGATAAAATGATCTAACAACATGGAGAATTCCTTCAAATGCTTTGCAAAATACTGCTCATCAGTTGTGGGAGGGTTTGGATTGAATGTAGGGCTTTAGGGAACTCCTGCAGCCCTGTAAATAACATCACCAGTTATATTCACCAACACACAATCTAGGGAAGAAGGAAAGAGAGGAGGTGGAAGGACAGAAAAACTGCTTTGCATTAGTCTGAATCATTCTGGTATGATTATCTATTGCTTTCAGAAGGGATTATATGATGACTATGAGTAGAGACTCAGGAGTCAGACTACCTGAATTTAAATCCCAATTCTATCACCTATTAGCTGTGTGACGTCAGCCAAGAGACTCAGTCTCTCTGCCTCTGTTTCTTCATCTGTAAGATCAGTATAATAACAGTACCTACCTCATGGGTTTGCTGTGAAAGTGAAGGGAGGAAATGTACATATCACTTAGTAGGTGAAAGAATGGGCTTTGGAGACAGAATCCCTGGGTTCAAGACTCCACAGCTCTGCTTTTCAGCTGAGCAAGTGACTTGCCTGACTTTGCTCCTTCAGAAGATGGGGACAGTAAAAGACTCATCTCAGAATGTTGTTCCTTGTGTTAACAAAGTACTTGGAAAGTGACCAACATATGGTAAGTACTCAATAAAGGCTGCTAGCATGATTTATAGAATATGATATGGATAAACACATATTAGCAGCTATTATGTATGATCATTATTATCGTTATTACTATAATTATAACTCTCAGTTCTGGCTAGACCACTCACTGGCAATTTAAAGCCACTGTATACAACTCAAGTTGGGGACTCTGGAGTGCAGTCATCCATCAATATCTTCAGAGAACTGGTTCCAGAACACCCCTTCCCTTTTGAAACTAAAATCTGCAGACACTCAAATCTTTTGTATCAGATGGCTTAGCATCTGCACATAACCTATGAACACTCTCTTGTATAATTTAAACCATCTCTAGTTTTGAACCAGTTATCACCAGCAAGAAGATGAGACCCTGTCTCATAGCAAGGTGCTGAAGTCCAGGAAAGTCACAGGATGCCTGGGGATGGGCAACAGGGCCCCAAAGGCAAAGTGGCACTTCAAAGCCCTGAGCAAGTGCAATTTATGCTTGATTCCTGAAACAGGGTTGCAAGACTTTATTCAAGTTCAGCCCTCCACTCTGAAGCAGCTTCTTTCATGACAGACAGTTTAGAGGTCAGTTTTCCCTTTCCTCTTTTAAGAGTGGCAAGCCACAGACTGGGGGATGTCGTGAGTAGAAAAGTAGTGATAGAGCACATGCTTAGCAAGCATGAGGCCCTAAGTTCAACCCCCAGTACCATTAAAAAAAAAAAAAAAAAGAGAAAGCTAAAAGAGTGGCAAGCCATAGTTGGAGTGAGATGCTCCAAAGAGATACCCAGAAACTCTTACTGGCATCAAGACGGCAGAAGATCCCGGCATTGTAGGGTTGGGCAGGGTCCCAGGCATGGAGGCTGGCATGGGCTGTCTCTGTCTGTTGTGGAGATGTAGCAGAGAAGATAGAGAGCCTGGGACAGGCCTGGAAACAAAGAAAACAAACAAACATTATTTCCAGTGCTCTGAGCCTGCCTCACCAGAGTCCAGGACCAGTGGGGACACCACCCGTCCAGCGTGCAGCAGATCAGACCCACTGATGGGACAGCCACATAAATTGTGGATATTAGGGAAATAATAACAAATAAAATACAAGTCTGATTTCCTTTGCTGCTTCCTAGATAACACATCAAATTCTACTTCATTTCCTGATCCCTGTTATCTAACTGATGTTCCATAGAAACAAGCCAGTAAATCTCCCATAGCCCTTGCTTCTAAGGAAAGGGATTTTGTGGTGGAATCCTGGGTCTGAGCCTTTGAAGGGTCTTAGGGCTGGAGATCTGGCTCCAGGTGTTCAACACACACACTCTCCCACACCTCTGCCTGGAAGCTCACCTGGCTTTGCTCTGGATACACTTTCATTCTCTGAATTTGCTGGATAAACTCCATTTGTGTGAATTCCTGACAGAAATCGATTTTGACTTTTTCAGAGTTCTCCACAATGAGTGGAAGGAATCAAAGTCAGGACACAGACCAAAGCAGCCCGCCCATGGGTCACAGCACTGTGGCCAGCCTTTCCCCGGTGAGCTCTCCATCACCAAGCTCTCATTTCCTAATAACTCGAGGTGTTAGGATGTTTGACAGAAAACTGATTTGGGCCTGACCTGCAGAACTTGGGTAAGCATTCCTTCGGGGAGTACACAGTTTGAGCTGTTGTTTCAATTTGAAAAAAAAAAAAAAAATCCCAGAAAACTTTAAGAGCCTTACATTGATTTAATGAGCCAGGGAATGTGGAGCTGAGGGAAAAAGGGAATTATTTGTGTTTATTAAAAATGGCAAACAACTGACCTCCCCGGCTAAATTCTCAATCTCCTGATGGGTTTGCTCTGGGGAGCTATATAAATGTCAAGCCATTAAATTAAAGACTTAACAACAAACAAAACAAATAAACAAAAAGCTCTCGGGGCCTCTGAGTCTTCCATGTAAAACCACTGTATTCTGAATGTTGGGCTAGAAACTTGTACTTTCAGAATTAGTGCATGTTCTAAAGAAATAAAGAAGACCCCCTCATGCAAAGAACTGGGTAAGGCCGCAGCACTATGCTCCAGGCAGGCCCAGGCCTGGCCTCCATTAGGAGAAGCACAATCTCTGCTAGAGTTCCCTTGGAGTAGGGAGAGGAGGCCCTTCTTTGGCGTCTCTGGGTGACTCACAGGGAAGTGGGAGACTGAGCTGGGGAAAGAGAATGCCAACACGTTCTTTCTTCACATTGCTGTTAAAATTCCAAAGATTAAGTTTTCCACTCTTTTTGCCCAAGAGCTCTTTTGGAAATGTAGCTAACCATCACGGTCACACACATCCTAGAAGGATTAGTCATAATTAGTCAAGATTTCTATGCTCAGGAAGGTGAATATATGGAACTAGAAAAGACTAGAAAGCCCTTTCACAGAAGTTATGTTGATGTACACAAATCACAATCTGTTTTATTAGTAGAAGGTATGTATGCAGACATATCTAGAAAGGTGGAGGTAAGTAGGTGGGAACAATGAAATGAGCATTTTTTCAGAAATGCAAATGAGGTACTAAGGGTATTTCCTGATGTGTGCCCTTGGGGCATCTGGAGTCACACTGACACAATAAGGTCTAGCAGGTGAACGTCCTCAAGCTTTCTCAGTTCGGGGGAACTGCTGGTTCCAATGCTCCAAAATACCGAAGAAGATTGTGACTTCACCGGGTTCGTAAAGAATATTTCATTCAGAGGTGAATAGCTTGAGTCAGATAAGTATGGAATGTGGCCCTGTCAACAAAGCTTGTTTTATTTTCTCCCATTTTAATGTTTTGTTTGGGAATGCGATTAAAAAGAAAACTGTTGTGTATCACAGCATATAATGTTCAGGAATAGTTCTTCCAAACCCAGGATTAATCATATGGACTCCCCAGTTTCATAATAAGTAAGATTCATTGAGGGGACCCCTCATCACCCATATATCCACTCATTAATATCTACCCAATCTGCAGAGATGGATATACAGGCATCTACATATGCACACATACACACACACACACACACACACACACACACATGCACGCACACACATATACTGCCTGTGACCATATATCTGTCACTAGAGGAAAGCTTCAAGGGCCAATAGGAACAAACACACACTGTTATAGGAAAGACAATGAAAAACATTTCTTTGTATTACTTGGATTCAGGATACCATGCTCGTGAGCATCATTCACGTTCAGTTTCTAACCTGACATATTAAAAACAATCCTGGTCATCAGTTTTTATTGATGTGTTCTTTCTGAAAAAGAAATCAATTAAACAACTCAATGGTGATGTGAAAGGGAATGCAAAAGTAATTAAATTTAAAATGAGTTTTCATTTTGCCCAAATGATGGAAACTATCATATGGAATAGTTGGGGAATGGTGTGTTTAATTCAATGCTCTGATTAGGTTAGTTATTTCCACGCAATGCACAGATCTACTAGATTTTAAAATATCAAGTATTTTCTCATTAATTAAGAAAGACTTTCAGGGTACTGGGCTCTCTTGGGATTATAATAACAGCTTCCAAATGGTACCAGTCAGACTGATTAGCAACATATACTTGGGTGAGAAAATGGTTATTTGAGATCCCTGTAGGTTTGAATTCTGAATAATTCTAAGGTTCACACAGACTTTATAAATTATTTCCCAACTCCCACTTATCATACTGATAGAGTTCTCTAGGCTTCTTGCTTAGGCTTTTACACTATAAAAACTGAAAAGAGTAAACTGCTTAAACATCCTTAAGTATATCAAGGAGAAGGGCTGAGGTATTGCTCAATGGTAGAGAATTGTCTAGCGTGCACAAGTGTGTTTGATTCCCAGCACCAGTAAATAAAGAAATAAAATAAAATACAGGACCAGAGTGAAGAATTTTTTATGTAACTAGGCCCATAGATGCAAACATTTGTCTAGAATACTTGAATTGTTGAAGCAAGAGTGGTATTGGAATAATTGCATTAATTGTCTAATTCCCTTTATGTGTTCCAAAAAATGAATTATTGTTTTTTAATATAGTATATGGGCAGAAAACTTTTTATATTGCTCTTGAACAACGTTTCATATTTTTCAAAGGATTATCACAGCCCTAATTTCACATGACTTGAAACAATGCCACGTGGTAGATAGGTAGCATTATTCCCACTTTACTTGGGAGCAAACTGAATCCAGGTAGATTCAATTTTCCCAAGGTCACACAGGTCATGAAAAGGAGCAGGGCTCATACTCAGCTTGCAATACAGAGCTTCCCCCAGTACACCCTGCTAGCTCCCACAACTAAGTTATTATTGATTTTTTTTTATGCTAAAATAAACTCATGGTTCATTTCCTTGGATATTCACACTGCTCCCTGGACTTTGCATGAAGTAGTAAAACACTGGGGAAACTGCTAACCTGCTAACACGAGAACTCTCTTATCCATGCGAAATTCTATTTTCTTCCTTCAACAAAAACAACAACAAAATAAAAACAGAGCAAACAAAGACCTCCCCAAACAACACATCAATTAGATTCTGCAAGTAAGATGACAAAATAGCAATAAAGTTGTGAAAACAAAGACCCAACAGTCTTTCCTCCAGTGCAGGCTTGTTGCCATGAGCTAATAATTCCAGACTTTGAGCAAGCCGAGCCTCCTTTTTAATAACCATATGCCTCTAGGTAAAGTATTTCTACTAAAAATTATTGAGGCATGGAACAAGGTAAGATGTGTGAGCTCATGTTGGATTGTTCAATTACTAAACTGAGTCCTGCAGCATTAAGAGTTTTCCAACTTGACAGATTATTCCTCTTTATACACTTGTATAAACATACTGCTTACGGCTGAAATCTATGTAAGCTTTTCTTTCAATTAAAATGTCAAGAATGACAGACTGTGTTTTCACTGTCCTTAGTAGAATGATAGGTACCACAGCAAGCGATTTCATGTCCTCATTTTTCCCCCCCAAAAAAGGATGTTTTCCAGTCTGGGGGTGTCTGAAAATCTAGGACTGTGTCTGCCAGTCTTCCTTGTCCCCCGCCCCCCCCCCGCCCTCCGGGCAAGCCTTGCTCTCTTTAAGGAGCCAAGGGCCACAGTGTGGGTTTGGAAGGCCTGAGAGGGTCTCTGTGGAGTGCTCTCTTTCCCTGATTTTGAAAGCCATATGGTCCCCTGGATTGCCTATTCAACTGTCAGGACAGACAGATCAGCCAGCGATGTGCTCAGGCAAAGGAAGAGGACAGCGATGAAGAATATTATCTTGGAAAACTGGAACATCAGTGTTAGCATGGAAAGGCCATAGACATCAAAGAAACCTTAAGATGATAGAGAAATAATAATGTCAGGACTTGATGGGAAGCAAAATTTTAAAAACTTCAGAGCAAGCCTCTGGAAAGAAGGTCAGGGCAGGCAGTAGAAGATTCAGAGGTCATATTGGAAGAGACTTTTCTGAATTTTGGAGTTCTCCATTTCCCCTGTCCAATGAATAGGCAGGCTGTAGGCGATCTCAAAGTCCCTTGGAGTTCTACTCAGTTCTCAGACTTGACATGAAAGCTAGATGCTTTTAATTGAGTCAGACTCTAAGCTCCATTAAGACATTTATTCGCCCCTCACTGCTGTGTGCCCAGGGCTTCACCCAGCATCTGGAAGGTAGGCGGCAGTCAGTGTCTACGTTCAGTGATATTAAGTTGGTCCAGAATCTAGTTCTTAATACCAGAACTACATCTGGAACATGACTAGACCCCAAACAGAGGGTGTTCTGAGAAAGGGCCTTACAGTCTATGGGGTCCATACTTATTTCTCTTGTAAATGTAATATCATTTCACACACAGACTAGAAAAAGGGGATTGATTGCTCACTCTGCTTGCATTTGCTTATGAAAAGAAATATGTGCTTCTTTTGTATCTTCTTTTTTAAAAAAAGTATTTTTAGTTATAGATGGACACAATTCCTTTATTTTATTTT